GAGGAGATGGTGGCCAAGTAATGCTGGGAACACTGTGGAGGGATCAGGTGACACTGTGCTACTGACCTTGTTATTCTAGTTCTGAACTGTCAGAAATACAACCGAGGGGGAACAGAAAATGGAGCAATAACTAAGTGCTTCAGACCCTGTATCTCAGTTCTCCCATACAGATGTAATCTGCTTGCTTAAATTTTTAATTCCCATTTCATAGAACTGGACAGATTTCTCTGTACCTGAAATCCAGAGACTAACCCAGACTGCTTTATCTCCCCAAACTGCACAGACTTTGAAGATATTTTAACTACAATTTACTTCTTGCTGGAGAAGAATCCACATGCTCAGTTCTGGACTACTTATCAAGTCCGAAGGTAAAATCTTTTCCATATTTAGGACTCAAACCTTAATTCCTGTCTCAGCTTTTGACAAGTGTTAACTTCTCAGAGGCACCACTGCTCTGACTCAGAAAAGCTCCTTACTGTGCATGAGGCTGCTATTAGCCCAGTAAATCCTGGGGGTAGCAGGCAAAAGCCAAACCTGAAAGTAATCCAAGAACCCTCAATTTGCTGTTGCCTAGAAAACTCTTACAAACCCATCTGTGCTGTACTGAAGTTTGGTGACAGCCTGTTAGTTACTGCAGCAGTTGTAACCTTGGGTTACATTTTCACGTGCTGTATATCCTCCCCTCAGTGCTGACTGGTCTATCGAGGCTCTGCTCTGTAAATGGAACCTGAGGAGCATCCACGTTCCCCTACACTCCTTTGGTGCAGACAAGGAGCACTTGGCCAGCTCGTCTCTCCCAGGAAGGCACACAATTGAAATGATGATCATCTCACTGGCACAGTCAGAGGGCACTTCAGTTTATTCCACTTTAGGTTCCAGTACAAGGTGACACTCAGCTGTTCTGATCTGCAGAAAACAGTCCTGTTTACAGCAAACCTTGTGTGTATTTCTGGGAAGCAGTTAATTCTTAAAACATGCATTGTAAAAATAAAGCTGTTTGGTTTTTTCCAGCTATGGCTTATGAGAAATTTGTGCTCCTCCCCAAAGCCCATGAAATAGTTCAGAGACTCAATTCCATTGTGTCAAGCCACTACACAAAAACCTGGAAATCCATGAGATCCACCCTAAATCCACAACTTCAGCAATGGAAAGGTAACTGCACTCTTTCAAATTAAAGACCAGCCCCATAAGATCAGTTTCCCAGGACTGGGAATCCTGGAATCCACATACAAAAGCCAGCCCCTTTGTAAATGAGTGTGTATAGACTGTGCTAACCTGGAACATACAAACTCCCCAGTTTGTAGAAAAGTACTTTTAATCCTCCACAAAAGCCATACTGCCAGTGTTCAGATGTTTCCATTCCCATTTAACATACATGCATAAAATTAACAAGGCATTACAATAACCCTTGACACAGGATGGTTGAAGTTACAATTCATTTGGTACCAAATCAAGAAAAATCATCACTGTAAGATCAGCCCCCATCAAGCAGCAGCCTGGGCAAGCACACAGCAATGCAATTAGTACTGCTCAGTGTGGACCTTCCCCAACACCCCAGGACCTGGCTGGGTCAGTGTTCACAGCCTGGTGTGCAACACTTGCCACACAACATCGGTTAGTCACAATACTAATTTGAGTTTGCCCACAGTAATTTAAAAGCAACCCCGGTGGATAAAATTTATAAGCAGTAGAATGCATTCAGTTACTATATAGAAGTTAAACATAGACAGTATAATTGCAGAAATCTTTTCAAGCTAAAAATAAGCTGACCCAAGACATTAAGTTGAGAAAAGTTAACACAGAAAAATGTTTAATATTAACTACAGAGACAGTGGGTATAGTACAGAATATCTTAAGCAAAAGATACACCAATCAGTACTTACAAAGGAATGAACCATTTCTGTTCTTAACATTACATATCTCATATGTAAGTTCATATATGTAGGTTGGTACGTTTTACCATTCTGGAAATAATAAGGTGTGTATATCATCAGCTAGATGTGCTCACTGTATGCTCCATATTTTTTACGCAAGGCCCGGGTGACTGGAAGTGCAGTTGTCAGGCATTTTAATTAACTGGACAGCCATTTGTTTCTGCACGACAAGGCATCGTTACACAGGAGCAATCAGGAGACAACAGGAAACAGCCAAGCACTCTGCACTGCAACACGCCACCTTAACAGCTAACCAGCATTACTCAACTGCTACACAACTGCGCCTAGTGCACAAAAATACATAAGAGAAGAGATTAGAATTGAGTCTGATAAAACAATCCTTTCAAATATCAACTGTCACCTGAAAAGATTTCTACCAATTTTGAATTTGAAGATACTATTCTAATGCAAAGTTGTTTTTTCTTTAAAAAAAAAAAAAAAGCATTTACAGTTAAGTTTCAAATTAAAGTTCTGTAGAATTTTATTTAAGGAATGAAAACAAAACTGAGAATACTTTCTGACAGTTAGCTACTCGGCATATAATGGCTGCATGATTCCTCAGTATGAAACTGGAGGCAGCAAGTTACCATCAGTTTTAATTTCCAATAGAAGTCAGCACTATATAAACAAAAATGAAGTTTTACCTCAAATATCCAAGCCAATAATGAAATCGGTAGTCGTTCACTTCACTAAATTACAAGAAATTTGAATAACAGCAACAAAATGGCACATAAAAATGTAAAATCTGCCACTTGAGGCGCAACTTAAACAAGTAAAAAGTTAGACAAAATGTTACAAAATAACCTTTTCAACAGCTGGTTGCTCGGCCAGGGTCTCTCCAATGGGCTGAAGACTCAAGCGATCTTTTCCCCCCAAAGGCGTCCTTTATGTGGGTTCTCATTTAGCTGAAGCATCTAGGTTTGAAGAAAAGAAAGTTCAGCCAGGTTTCTACCTTGTCTGTTTTGGGTGTGGATGACTTCAGGGATACTTCTAGTTGTGTTTCAACTGGCTTTGCCTAAGTTAATTTTTAAGTTTTAGGAATTTCCACAGTGTTCCACCTCCCCCCCCTTGTGTTGCTTTACTTCAGAGGCCAAATGTAAGGTTCTGTCAGAGTATTTAGTTACAAAGGAGAACAAGCACCAGGCTGTAGATCAAGCCACCATTAACTTCAATTCAGCCTGTTCAACAATCGATTATTAAAAGCTATATAAAAGTTAACAAAGCTAATACTTCTTCATAAAGACTTAACTAAACTCTTAAGTAGCATTCAAAACAGAAAACGTGACTAGTTTTGCTACAATTATCTAACTCCAGAGCTAGCTTAGGCCCTTTCCTTTTAAAAAACAGGACCAAACAGTTTGAAGGGTTAAAGACACACTATCCTTTCCCCACCCAGTGTATCCTTAGATGCCTCTTCCAAGATGTCGACCTGAGGAAAAACTAGTTTCCGTGGTTTTCTTGTTGCCAAGGAATTTGCCCCTTTTCTAGGACACTTATTACCTCCAGTCAGTACAACGGCCACTGAACCGATCTTCCGTTCTAAAAGGATAGTGTATCTTTAACAGTGTAAGACAAACCTGCTCCAACACACGCCCACAGAAACTGGTCCCTGGAGGATCAGCCAAATCAGTTAAAATCTGCAATACTGGCCAATATTCTTTTAGCAAACAGGAGACCGCAGCTTTAAAGGGGAAAATGCAGATGTTGGATAAATACAGTAAGAAATAGTCATTTGCATCATAGGTTGCGTCTCATACAATATTTTAATAAAACCAAGGCATTAATCTCGCAATAAAACATTTTCTCTGTAGAAAAAAAAAAATATTTCCGTAGAAAACCCTTCAGTAATAACTTCCCTAAACCAATAACCAAAAAGCACTGCTCAGGAAAAAAAAACCCAAAACCAACAACTAACAGTGTGCCCCGTTAGGATTCACTTGGTTCAGGCTATTAATGCTCTAAGAACTACCCAACACCCCACCTAAGTGCTCTAATAAAGTAACATGCAACATGTGCTGATCCCGAGGTACATTACCATGTTCCTAGGAGGATACAGCTCCTTCTTCTTCCGGAGACTTGGGAGGGCTCTTAGATCTGGATCTAGAGTTGGATTCCCTCTTTGAAGCAGGGGGAGGGCTTCTAGATCTGGACCGGGATCTTGACCTGGACCGGGATCTGGAGACAGATGAGGACTTTGACTTGGATCTCCTGGCAGACCTGGACTTGGAGGTGGAACGAGACCGAGAGCGTGTACGAGACCGGGATTTGGATCGGCTGTAACGGGACCGACTGCGGGATCTAGAGCGGCTCCTGCTTCTAGATCGGCTGCGACGGCGTCTTCTAGGGCTAAAACATACCAGGAAGGGGAAGGAAAAAGAAAAAAAAAAAAGACGCGTTAAAAGTTGCTCACGGGCAGCGCAGAATCCAGTGAGTGCCGCGGGACAGGGAGGGCGGGACAGGACGCACGTGGGCAAGAAAACGAGCATTACGAGGGCGCCATTGTTCAGAGCGAGTGGCCGGGGGCTAAATTTACTACAGGGCAAAAACCTTCCACTCCGAGGGGACCATATGTGCCTTCACTACTAAGCCCCTACTCCCCCCGCCCAACCCCGCCGCGAAACTCACTGGGAAAAGGCTAAAGAATCACAGAACCGGTCAGGTTGGCAGGGACCGCAGAGGGTCATCTGGTCTACACTCCCTGCTTAAGGAGGGTCATCCCGGAGCACATGATTATGTCGTGTACTCAGCTGCTC